TATTTTCCCTCTTCTTTTCTTTCTTTTCCTCCTCTCCCTTTCCTGTCTCTGTCTTTTCTGGGTTGTGCTACCGGCTTTGACGAGTCCTGAAGACTTCGCCTCAACACCGCGGAATCATGCTGAGTGATCTTGATGACAATCGTGAGACACGGGGTGGTGTAMGAGACTGTACAGAAGACCTTTGACTGTCTCACGATCATCGAGACTGAACAACCCAAAAAGGAGAACCCCGAGGGGAAGAAAGGGGGACTTTTTGCTTAAAGGAGTCCGAGCTGGATCAAGGTGGGGCCAGATTTCCAGCTCCTAGGCTGGAAGGTACAGCGTGTCAACCATGGATAGCTGCGCTGCTTCTGAYGGAAAGAGAGTGGTGCGACCCCATACTGCACACCTCATGGAACAATGGACATTCTTTCCCTACCGCTCGGCTGATTTCTCCATGCTTCGCAAGTTTCCATCAGGTTTCCATGCTTCGCAACCCCCTGACTTGCTGCCACCCGCTTTCAAAAGACTTTGCAGGTCTTTATGCTTCGCAACCCCCCTGGCTTGCAGCCACCCACTTTCAAAAAGACTATAAAAAGTCTCTCCGAGAAGACCCCGATCGAGATCTCCCCGACGGATGCTGCAAACCCATGGAACCTCGGAGGATTCGTCGGAGCTGTTGGTAGCTATAACCCCACCCTCTCCCTCTCTCTTTCTCTCTCTTTCTCTCTCTTTCTCTCTCTTTCTCTCTCTTTTTCTCTCTTTCTCTCTCTTTCTCTCTCTCTCACCCTCTTCTATCGCAAAATATCCAATAAAATTGTTCCTGATTATTTAAAATATATATACTTGCCTCCTTGTTTCTTTTGCACTCTGAGATTCTGATAACGAACCCCTCATGGTTCCTGCTTGGGTTAAGCGGATCGTGACAATGTGGCAGTCTGTGTTTGTACACAGGGTGAAAAAAGCCATGTAGCGTTTAGACAGGGATAAAACGAGCCTGCTTGCAGCAATAAATGTCTCAATATCTTGACCAACCTGAGTCCATGCAATTAGTCACCCCATAAGATGAATTTTAATGAAAACTAATATATTTAATTATTAAATAATAAATGTGTATGGTTTCTAATTTCAGATGTTTATTAAAATTTTCCTAGATTTTTACAGATTCCTAGATTTTAGACAGTCTTTTGTTGCCCTTTACGTGATGGCCTAATCACAAGTATACTACCAAGTTATCACTTGTATAAGAAGATTTAAAATTCAKGTCCTGTACAACTGAAACCTTTCAATTTCTCATATTGCCTTCCCAGGTTTGGTAATCTGTTAGTCCCAACTTGCACTGTATTTATGTTCATACATTCTGCCACCCCAAATCCACACTACAGTGCAATTTCAACTCCCAGGCCATCCTGCAGTTTCATTTCCCACTGCAGTTTTCCACTGCACTGAATATTAAAGTGTTTATAATAGGGATGACTTTCATCTGCCATGTCTGTAGTGTGAATTGTGAGTGTCCATATGCTGCACCTCATTGAGGTGCAAGTCTCTTGTTACTCTGCAGCAGTTGATRCCTATATTTTAATTATTATTGCAATGGAGATGGCTACAAGACACCTGCCATTTTTTTTCTAAAATCAATAATGTAAAATTGACTCCTATGGACCAGTATCTTTTAATTTTATTGAGTGACACGAATGAAGAGTGATCAGAATAGCAGAATTGTGTGATGAGAAACCATGTTGTTGATCAGCCAGATTTCTTCTTTCTCTGACTTGCATTTTGAGTGAACAAGGTTCAACACTTGGACTAAGTGGTGACATAGCAGTTGTGCTAATACTTAGTTTCTCCCTTCCCTTTAGAGATTTTATGTAGAAAAATCACCACTCCTTTAGGAGCATTTTTCTATGAATAACTACTATTCAGGAGTGAAACTGAAGTGAAAGCTCATTTTAAAATTATACCAATTAAACAATAACAACTAAATAGGGAGAAAATAGGGTAAATTGTAGCTAAGGATTCTTCATTTATAATACCATAATTTCAGACTAAAGCATGAGCAACACACAGAGGAAAATTTGCCTTGAAACACATATTAATGTAAAAATTTTCTCTGAAGTTGCCTTGGGTTGATTTTGTGCTAATCCTGTATTCCTATATTCTGTCAGCTTGTATGCCCAAAAGGTGCCTCTGCCTTTAAATGCAACCTGGAAGAAGGGGCAGGGACAGCTGGGAAGGATATTAATGTAAAAATTTTCTCTGAAGTTRTCTTGGATTGATTTTGTCTGTCAGCTTGTATGCCCAAAAGGTGCCTCTGCCTTTAAATGCAACCCGGAAGAAGGGGCAGGGACAGCTGGGAAGGCAGTGTGAGCACTTAAAAGCCAGGCTGCCAGGCTGCTGCAGGCTTTTGGACTTCAGCTCAGCACGGCAGGAGTCCTGCTCGCTGTGTGCAGGGGAGTTATGCTGTTGCTGTTTAGCCAGCTCGGGTTTATAT